CCAGGTTGGGACTGCAGCAGTAGGGACTGGCAGGTCTCAATGATGACCTCATCCCTCCTAGATCCTAGGAGGGCAGTCCGGATTGCAGAGATAAGGTCCTTGGGGCATTATCTCTGCAATATCTGAATTTAAGCAGCAAAAATAAGAAAAAATGTTGATGTGAGTTGGCCGGCTCATTTTTGGGCCTTAGATCTGAGATCTGATCTTGTGGCAGAGGAGATCTAGCCGTTTTTTGTGGGCTGACACAAAACGGCTAGCTCCGGAATGAGTTGGCAGCAAAATGGAGGGAAAACAAAGAGAGGAACAAGACAAAACTGCGTATTTGGCTCAAGGATTGGGCCAAATACACCAAAAAAATTAAAAATTGAAGTAAAAGGCTCAAATTTGGGCCAAGGGGAGCTTGGGGGTAGCTCAGAATGATGAGGACCATGGATCTCAGCCAAATCCAAGGCTGATATTGGAGCCGCTACTTGGAAAAATGCAACGGCCTACCCAAAAGAGGCCTAGACCAGGAAAAAGACGAAAAATGGGCCTTTAGGCCCTCAAAATTCAGTAAAGGCTACATTTTGGGAAGTAGTACCCCAAAAGGCAGCTTTTTTTGAAGCAAAAAGAGGCTGGGGTAGGCCAAGGGCTAGTCCGAGAAGGTACCGGCCTCTCAGGTTGCATGTACCTGGCCAAAATGAGGCCCAGGTACCTCCAGATAGGCCAAAACCGGAAATTTGGCCTTGGGGGCACCTCGGTCCACCTAGAGGCACTTGGAGAGGCCTAAGGGTTGGGCGGTGCACCAGTTGCAGCCTACATAAGCTGGAGGTGCAGGCCATCACTCCCACTTAAGCATGAGAGGAGCCCATGCTGCCCAAATGAGTCCGTGAGTGAGTACTAGTGAGATAGACCAAGGAAGTGGGAGTCGGAGCTAGCCTGGAGCTTGGCTATGGTGATGAGACTAAGGGAGAAGGCCTAGAGGCTAAGAGGAAGCAAGGAGAGTGGTCCGCCATAGCCCTCAGGCTGTGAGGTAGGAGGAGAGGCTGAAAGGGGTCCCCTTAGCCCTTCTAGAGGGAAGGACTCCATAGCCTTAGAGGTAGGAGTCTGCCATAACTTGGGAGGAGGAGTGAGAGAAGGAGGAGAGAATTTGGGAGGTGGGGAAGCCATACTCAAGGAGCTAGAACCAAGCTTGGGACTACGTTGCCTAGGGACCAACAAGAGGTGAGTGGGAAGGGAGGAAGTTTTCCCTCCTTCTTCCTCCTTTCTTCCTCTTCTTCTTCTTCTTCTTCTTCTTCTCCCTCTCCTCCTTCCTCTTCCCCCTCTCCTTCTTCCTCTTTTTCTTCCTCTTCTCCCTCCCCCTCCTCCTCCTCCCCTTCTTCTTCTCCCCCTCCCTCATCTTCTTCCTCCCTCCAAAACTGTGATTTTTACTGATCTTGATGCTTGTGTAAGTTGCGCTTCATCCTAGGATACTTCGGAGATCATTCCCCTAGTGTAGATGATCTCAATCTTGTCAATTTGCTGATTTGGATACCTATGTGTGTTGCGCTTCATCCTAGGATACTTCGAAGATCATTCCCCTAATGTAGGTGATCTCAATCTTGTCAATTTACTGATTTGGATGCCTATGTGTGTTGCGCTTCATCCTAGGATACTTCGGAGATCATTCCCCTAGTGTAGATGTCATCAAATTGTCATTTTGCTGATTTGGATGCCTATGTGTGTTGCGCTTCATCTTGTGATACTTCGGTGATCATTCCCCTAGTATAGATGATCTCAAACTTGTCATTTTGCTGATCTGGATGCCTATGTGTGTTGCGCTTCATCCTGGGATACTTCGGAGATCATTCCCCTAGTGTAGATGATCTCAATCTTGTCA